TTCAATCTCTACTAACTAAGTCACAAGCATCACCATGTTGAACTTCTACAACATTATGTACCCTTCGCAAAATCCACAACCATGCTGAAATTCCTACATATCTTCCTTAACCCTAAACCGAAAAGCCCAACATCACATTAATCCTGCTCTCTGAACCCAAAACCCCAAGCCCCTATTGCCAAAGCCAACAACAACTAAACCCTTCACCCTAGAGCCTACTTAAAGGATCATGGGACTTAGTAACTAGGGTTATAATTAGGGTAACTGTACTTATAACCCCAATTCGGGTACTTATAACCTTACTTACTAAGTCCCATGATCCTCCAAGTATAAAGCTAAATCCCTAACAACCCAAGTCTCTGAACCCCAACCCTGGAGACCCCAAAACCCTAAAACCCTAAACCCCCAAACCCTCAAACCCTTAAACCCTTAAACCCTAAAACCCTAAAACCCTAAACCCCAAAAGCCCTAACCCCCAAACCTGTACAGTTGAAGCCGAAAAGTTCGAAACCCAATAGCCTCAGTCCTTAAGGTTAATGTATAGGGAACCCCAGCACTATTTGGCCTTAATTCGGTTTCCAACTTTATGGGGTTTACTGTAAACCCCCCGCCCCCCCAAAGCCGAGCCTGTCCAAGGGTAAAAGGAGGGACCCTTAACAAGAACCCCTAGGTATTTGAGGGATCAAAAAGGGTTCTATAAAGGGTTTGGGGTTTAGGGTTTAGGATTCCCTTAATAAGGACCCCTAGGTATTTAAAGGGATCAAAAAGGGTTCTATAAAGGGTTTAGGGTTTAGGATCCCCTTAATAGGGACCCCTAGGTATATACCCTCAATATAGCCATTATATACCCATTATATAGCCCATTCTAGGGTAGGGGTCCCCATTAAGGGTCCCTCCTTTTCCCCTTTGAGCCTGGCTCCAGGGCTCAGGAGCCGAAGATAAGAGCTCCGCTCGCTGCCCCCGCGTGGACTTCAGCAGGGCCTGTGCGGCCTCTTGCACCTTCTTCTGGGGGCTTAGGGGCTAAGGGGCTAGTTTGGGGTATAGGGTTCAGGATTTAGGGCTTTGGGTTTAGGGTTTAGGGCTTTGGGTTCAGGGGTTTAGGGCTCTTCGGGCTTAGGGTTTAGGGCTGGTTTAGGGTCGCACCTTTTAATTGGGGGTGTTCTGGCTTGGGGCTTGGGGGTTCTTGGAGGCTTCGGGCTCAGGGTTCGGGGTTTAGGGTTCGATTACCGGGTTTCGTGTCTCGGGCAACTGTTGAGGGCCGGGATTAGAGCTGGTTTAGGCTTTGGGGTGAGTGGTTTTGTGCTTTTGTAAAAATTTGAGGCAACCTCGTTTTCAGCCGCGCGCCGGCACTCAAGTTTACGCAAACGAATTGGCACGTGTTGAGGTTCAGGGCTTAGGGTTTGAGGTTTTAGGGGTGCATTTGAGGTTTGGAGTTTAGGTTGTAAGCCTTTTTGCATAGGGTTGGTGTTGTCGGGTTGATGGCTTTGGATTTAGGAAGTTTAGGGCGCGGGCCGGCCTTTGGAATTGCTTCCAAGTCGCATGGGTTCAGTGTCTAGTGTGTGTTTGCTTAATTGTGGTTAGGTCAAGGCTTCCCGTTTCTATACTGAACTTAGAACCCTAGCAAAAATTAAACAAAATTAGCTGTTTCTTGGGGATTATAATAACCAAAGATTAAAAATATTTCTAAGTACCCCTAAGGTTTAGGGTTGAGGGCTTCGGGGCTTCAGTCGCGCGTGCCTGGGCGGCGCTTCCACTCTGCAGTCGGCGACGCTGTGCGGACCAGTCCGCCATGGCTGACAACAGAATGCCACCACACTGCTCTTGGAGTCCAATTTTGGGGGGCTTCTTGTCGAACACATGGCGGAAGAAATTCTGAGTCTGCGTCACAAACCGCACAGGCCCCAACAATCATCTAACTAACATCATCTTACACACCAAACTGTGCCTGATGCCTTGAAGGCACTAGAGACCCTACGAGGTCGGGCCGGGGAGGGCCAAATTGCTTGAGCAAAAGAAACAGCTTGCATGACGACGCGTCAGAAGAGTTGATCCGCAAGGATTAGGGTTAAGAAAACTAAAGTCTTAGAGGCGTAGGATATAAGTACTTGGGTTCAGGGTGTAGGATCCTTGGGGAATGTACAAGAACCTCTCTAGAACGACAGATCGGCTCGAGGGGCTCCAGCTGTCACGGTTTGTGCCAGAAGGCTTCTGCCAGCACAGCGATCGGGAGGGTTTAAGATTTAGGGCTTAGGGTTTGCTTCAATGCTATGGGCACGCAAGTAAAGCAAAACATGCCATGCCAGGGCAAGCTTCGGTTCAAGCAACAAAGCTGTTCAAGGTCTAGGTGGGGCTTTTAAAGCGTTTGAAAAATAGTAGTAAATAAGATCCTCTTCAGCCCAATAAGGGAAAATGTAACATGTCCCAAAGCCCTACCTTGAGGTTCTTTTGGATTTCTGATTACTGCAGTAAGAAACCCAACTCGAACCTCTTATGACGCAACTCATCGTAGCTCACAGGCATAAATGCTGGGTGCAACCCAACGAACCCAAAAAGCCGCCCGAAAGAGCAGAACTCCCAACCACGTAGTGCTCCGAGCCCTGAACGTGAGCCAACACGGGGAATAACCAGATGAATCGAACAAACTGGGATGAAACAAACATGAACAAGCCAACTCGAACCTTTGCCAGCACATGATGTAGATATTCGCAGTTATTCGAGACGCAGGTCCGTAACAGGCCAACACGACAGTACAATCGAAGCGGCAGACTACTCCACACCCGCCTGCCCAAATACGAAACCAACAAGGCAAACGTCCAAAACACTGAAACCGAAACCCTGCATTTTACATCCTATAAACCCTAAAACCCTCAAAAAACTGACCTTGATGCAAGCCCAAGCGGTAGGAGCCTTGCGGTAGGAGCCTTGTTAGATGGATCCCCCCAGAAATGGAGCCCACATTTTGAAAAATCCACAAATCGGGCTGGGGTATTCCTTATCCCGTAACCAAAGTCGTATGCCCCAGCCTGAATCCAAATCCCGCCAATCTTTAGTGCCCGCAACCCCCAACTCCCACAAAGCTAAAGCCTAGACCCTAAAAGCCCTAAATCCCTAACCCCCAAACCCAAAACGTTGTAAACCCTCCCAACCATGAGCACTAATGGGAGGATCAGCAGACTGCGCAAGCAAGGTGTGAAGAAACACAGGAACCGGCTTAAGCAACCTTGGGTCTTTTAGTTAACAAGGGAACCTAGTTGGGCAACCTTGGGTCTTTATAATACGCACCGTAGTATTTGGGAGGTTCTAAGACCAGGGTTTCTAAAAGTCACCAACGAACCTTACTTACACTCCTACATGCTAAGGCCCCGGATCCTGCAATCAACCATTACTGGCAGCATCTCCTCGTGTGCGAGCGCGTCCCGCTTGAGCTCTGTACTCTCGAAGCGCCCGACCATGACGCGAGGAAGGGGGAAATCTTACGAAGGCTCCCCCGAAGCAGCTGAAGGGTTTGGGGCTCAAAACTTGCGGCTTCATGTGTAGGGTCTGAGGGGTTCGGGCTGAGCTTTGGTCATGGAAGCATGAAGATCTTGACTTTTCAGAGATTGAACAGGTATGCTAGGGTTTGGGGTGCTGGGTGGGGTTTTACAAGGCTTCCTGAAGTTGGGCGTAGGGCTTTGACCTTCGTCCCGTTCGTGCCGGGCATTGGTGCACCGCACTCTGCTGCTGGTTGGGTTCGCTTCGATGGCTTCCGGCTTGAAGATTCGACCTCGAGGCGTTGGTAGGAGAAAGCTGGGGGCGATTATGATATCTGTTGCCTACTAAGCGCTACCAGCAACCTATTCATTGAGTTCCCTGATCCTTGAAGTGGCAAGACCCCTAAACATGTGGGGAGAAGGGCCCTTTGGCGTCAAAATCGATCTACCTGCGTCCAGCTTGGCAGAGCGAGTGCAGCGAGGGAAGCGGCTGGAGGGTTAGGGGAAAGGGCGTAGGGTACAGGGTGCCGGGTTTAGGGCTCAGAGTCCTAAAACCGTAAACCCTAACCTCTAAGCCCCTAAACCCTAAGTCCTAACCCCCAAAACCCTGAACCCTAAGCCTTCAGGTTTCAAGTGCCTCCAGCAAGGTTCGGAGGCAAGCCTCCCTACTTTACACGCTCTACATGAGGCCCAAAACCACACCGTCAACCCAATCCGTGTAAAGCACGCTCGGCGGTATGCTTAAAGGATCATGGGACTTAGTAACTAGGGCTATAATTAGGGTAACTATACTTATCACCCCAATTAGGGTACTTATAACCTTACTTACTGAGTCCCATGGTCCTCCAATTGGGCCACCATAAACCTGAACCGACTTCAGGGTACAAGGCTTCGCGTGTACTATATGTGGCGCTAATTACTAGCATAAGGTTTTGAGAGGCAATTCTTCAGGATTAAACTATAATGACCCAAAATAGTATGGGTATTTCTTCAGGCCCCTATGTTAAACGCCTCGCTGTGACCAGAGGGATCCCTTTAGCTAGTGATTCGCTCCTACTTGGGAAGCCATGCCCGGATTTTGGGATGCTTCAAATAACCCTGTCAGGCTGTTTAGGGTTTAGGGTTTCGGGCACGTCTTCGCGTAGATGTACACACCCAAAGGCCCCCAAACCCTGGTCTAGCAATTTGGGTCATCTGAGGTTCCTGGGTTTAGAGTTTGCGATATTGCAGTGAGAATGGGCCATGAGGGCCATGACGGGGAATGCCCAAAGCGAACTTATCATCCTCCAGGAACTACCTGCCCAATGGCTGGCCAAACCCTGAACCCTTAACCCATTTCTCCAAAACATGGAACCCCTAATCCCTAATCCTAAACCCGAAATCAAAGCTACAGGGTAACCGACCATGACGGAACATAGAGCTCCATCCAAAAGCTGGCTTTAAGACCTTATAATCAGGAACCTCAGAAAACACTACAAGTTTAGCTCAGGAGGTCCTAGCCAAGTCGCACACAGCAAGCAGCACTGTATTTTACTTCACTAATAAGCCATCGGTCCTCAATACCATGTCCTCCATGTAGAAGGCCTTGTGCTTTTCCGAGGCTCCATGTAGGGTTTTGATAGGGTTTATGGCTTTGAAGGGTTGTTCAAGGGTGTCAGACAAATGGGGATCTCTGTGGGGTAGAAATAAGCAAAAAGACTTTGCGGCACGATGACATAGCATAGACGCCCAAACGATATCATTATACCATACTTAATAATGCACACCAACCCCCTCCCACGAACAAACACGCAGTGTGTTCGAGTCTACGGACCCTAAGCCCTATACCCTAAACCATGAATATGGCCTACACGGCTCCCGTGGTATTGCTTCAAGTCTGTACTCGGGATCTTAAGCCTTGGGACATGGAAAAAGCCGGAGGCGCCCGTGAAAGCTCACGCCGAGAATTCCGTTAGCATAAGCGCGCACACACAACTGTATATGTACGCATACTTTCATTATGCATATGCGTGGATGTGTATGTATATATATATATGTATGTGTATGCACACGTAGATGGATACGCATGTGTGTGCATACATACATACGTGCATACATACATACGTACAAACATGCATACACATACATCAACAACAAAATCATATACCACATACGCATGTGTGAGCTGAGGTTTAGGGCTCAGGAAATAGGGTCTTATAAACCCCAAAGCCCCAATTGGGGCTTTGCTTTAGGACATGGGAATTTCCGAAAACAGGGGACCCTAATATAGTACCCTAAATAGTAGGATCCTTATTATAAGGACCCCAAAACAGGGTACCCCGAATTTTCGGAAACTCCCATATAGGTTACCCCTGCTAAACCCCGAACCCCACACCAGGAACCTGGAGCCCGTCCCAGGCCTCATACAGGATAGTTTGGTAAACCCTAAACCCTAAACCCTAAACCCTAAACCCTAAACCCTGACTATAAGGGGACATAGTCCATGATTGTTCCGATACTAAACCTGAACCTTGAACCCTAATCCCCTATAAACCCTACCTCAACCTATCAAAACATACTTTTTTGTAGGGTCCCTATAAACTCCATAGTAGGGTTTACAAGAAGAACCTACAAAAAAGTAGGGCTTGGGGGTTTAAGGTAAGCCCCAAACCCTGAGAGTTTCCTAACTGTCCCAGACCCTCGCCCATGAGGGACCTTGGACGCGTTGACGAAACGCGGATTGTCCAGAATGATGCTGCCATCGATGTTGGCAACCATCCCTGCTTAGGGTTTAGGGTTTAGGGACCCTAAACCCTAAACGCTAAACCCTAAATCCCTAAACCCTAAGTCGCGGATTTAGGCATGGCTTTGGATTTGTTTTAGGGTCTAAGGTCTCGGGGTTAGCGGCTTGAGGATCGTGTTGTATATAGTACGGTAGGAGGATTGCTGCTTGACAGTGTAGGTTGCAGGCGACGCCGTTTGGAGTATGCAGAGCAGAAAGTTCGGATTCAGGATTTGGGGCCTAGGGAAAGGAAGTGTGGGCTAAGCTTGCGGGAGGTTGACTTTTCTTCTGCAATACATGGCTTGGGGTCAAGGAACTTGTGCTTTCCCAGGGCGTTTGTTTTTTGGCCATAGGTTTGTGGGCAAGGGCGTCGCTGAAGTCTAACCATTGGGACGATGAGGACTTCATAGAAGGGCCTACATGGTTACTTATCGGATTCCTTAGGTTCTTTACTATATCTGTACTCGAATCCACCGCAATGCCCTATTCAAACGATTAAGGACGCATGCTGTTTGCAATACTACTCCAGACCGGTTGAAGGGAAGCTGCTCGACAACTACACAGCCTTTATGTTTGAGCAGGGCGTTGCTGGTTTGGATTTTAAGGTTCAGGGTTGACGGTTAACCCTCGCAACCAAGAACACTTCACAGGCTCCGTGTCCTTGTTTCGTTCTGTGGAAGCAGCCGCGTTGTTGCAGGAGGCTCCACACATTTTCAACCGGCAGCGGGAGCGGCACCCGCTGCGTGTTGGTCTCCAACGCCTCAGCCGCACGACAGTTTGTTAGGCTATTCTTTGGAGGGCCTTTATTAACTTCGTAGCTCTTTGTTCCATAGTGCTAGGAAACCCTAAGCCCTAAACTTTAAGAGTTTCGGAACTCCTGTTCCATTGTGCCAAGGATATGCGACACAAGAGGTCGGAGTAGTTGGTGATGTCTGAAAGCGGTCTTGAATCAGATCCTCTTAATTCCTACAAAGTAGAGCATCCGAGAGACCCACCCGGTTACTTGGAGTTTACTGAAAGTAGTATGTGGCTAGGGCTGCGAACGGGATAACCTCAGTTGGGACTCGTGCTACCCATCTGTTGGCTTGTTCAAGGCCTTGACCCTTCGAGTGACCACCTTGGCCTATCAGAGATCCACCTGTGTCAGGTTGCTTCTAACTTCAACCGACTAGACCCTAAACATTAAGTAACAGGCTACGCTAAGTCCATGCATGGTTGACGGCATGCCCTGAACCCTGAACAAGGGTATCCAAAGGGGCCTTCCTCTAGCTACACCTAGATGAGGGCCTCGGTACTTAGAACATCGGTGGCCTCACAAGGTGGGATTGAGGATCCCTTATGTAAGGACTCTTATTTGGGAATATCCCACCTACCTTCATCCTACCTTTTGAGGCCACCGAGAACAGGGTTTGGGCAGATAGCTCTCGATAGTTTCAATAGCGTTTTGAAGTGTTGTTACTACTGCTGGTAAATCTAACGACTGCTCCTTTTTAACCATCACGGCGGTTATTGAGATATTGTCGTCGTTCATGTTGTTGATGCTATTGCCGTAATTAACGGTACTATTTCTTTTGCTGGTAATATTTGCTATCGTTACTACTATTATACTGCTTTTGCTGTTATGATGATGATGATGATGATTATGAGTATTCCTCTTGTTGCGGTAGCAACTACTGGTGCTTTTACTGTTGTGCGGCTGTAACTACCGGTGATGTTCTTGTTGTCGCGCTGCTTCTTTCTTAGTGTTACCCTTGTTCGTATTCTTGTTTGTTATGGCACCACGTAGTAGTCTTTAAAAGCATATACGAAGACGAGAAGCGCGTATTCTTACCAATGAACCCCGCAGCCATGCAGCAAGCAAAACCCTCACTAAAGGCCTAAACATTAAATCCAAAACCCTACAAAACCCCAACCTTAGCCCAAAACCATAAAGCCCCAAACCCCTAAACCCCTAAACCCAAAACCCTAAACCCCTAAACCCTCAACCCTAAACCCCTAAACCCAAAACCCCTAAACCCTTAACCCTAAACCCCTAAACTCTAAACCCAGACCCTAAACCCTAAACCATAAAGCCGCAACCCCCCATGTTTCTTCGAGGTGCAGCTGGGACGAGCCCCACATCTTTGATGCACTGCCAAAAGCCTCTGGAGGTGGTCTTTAACTTAGCTGGTCTTTGAAGTAACCAGGGAGAAAAAGGCATCATGGGGAACTAAAGGTTAACCTTTTTGGTTACATAGGGATTATATACTAAACCCTAAACCCTAAACCCTAAACCCTAAACCCAAAAAAGGCTAAAGGTTCCCTAATCTACTACTAGACCCCTATTATGGCAACTCTGGGCTTTGAAGTAACCAGGGAGAAAAAAGGTATAGACTTTTATTTCATATAGCTTCCTTACAGGAACAGGTGCCAAAAAACACGTTTTCAAGTATGCTACTCCAGAACCCAGTTAGGGTTCTAAGGTTTTTTTTTTTTTTTTTTTGAGGGCCCTTTTCCTCCCTGCTAAGGGTTTTACGGTTTAGGGTTTTACGGCTTGGGGCTTAGGTTTAGGGCTCTGCTTGGGGGCGGGGGGTCTTCGAGTTGAGGGTCTGGGGCTTCGGGCTACGGGTTGCTGAATTAGGGTTTAGGGTTTAGGGTTCAGGGTTTAGGGTTCAGGGTTTAGGGTTTAGGGTTTAGGGTTTAGGGTTTAGGGTTTAGGGTTTAGGGTTAGGTTCAGGGCTCGGAAGCCTTGAGGTAGAGTGAAGACCGTAATCCAATCGTCGAAGAGTTTCTTCGCGGACGTGTAAATCTCCTGGGGCTGGCGGCAACATGTTCCCCCCTACTTACTTGTCCAGTATCCTAGGGGCACTAAGGGTTAAGCTTCGGGATTATCTTGGGATTGTACTACCCCAAAGACGTAAAAAGGTATCCCACACCTACAACTAAGTGTCTGTTCAGTGCATTGAGAGCCCTAAACCCTAAACCCTAAACCCTAGCTTGCGAAGCTGCGGCAGAGGGCCTTGGACCCTTATTCGTAGGGTCTCTCAAGGGTTTCTTGCTAAGGCTTTCAGGCTTTAGGGGGCTCAGCCTTTTAGGGGATTTAGGGTTTGAAAATGCATTCCTAATCCAGGGATATGGGGTGAGCACACATCTCCGAGCTGTGCATCAAACCCTAAACAACAAATCTAGACTAAACGTTGGGGCCTCAAACCGCTAGCCAGCACATCCCAGATCTTGAAACCCCATACGACGGAAGCCCTAGGCACCCGAAACCCCAAGCCTCAAAACCCTAAGTCCTAAACTAGACCTTGGAAACCCCCCAAACCAAGGGTCCATAGGTTGATAACAGGAGGTAGATCAAACCCACCTCCAAAACTGTACTCGAAGGATCAGCGGACTGAAATGGGTTATACAAGGCTGTCAGGAGTGATATACGCTTTTGACTCGGGTAAACTCCTGAGCGAATTGAATACCCACATCCATGCATCCGTCCGTCTTGCCATCCATGCCTACATACACCAGCTCATACTAATATACGGGCCTTAATAATTAGAATAGGGTTTGGGGCCCATTATACATTATACTGTAACTATAATAATGAACCCCCACAAAAAGAGTATAGTCAATTATTGCGGCCTTTCTTACATCTGTCCCACTCCGATTCTCCTCCGAATGGGTGCCAAGGATGATACGATAGACCTTCTTGGTCCTTGGCTTACAGGTTTGGGGCTCTAGGAGGAAGCTTTGGGAGTTTAGGGTTTAAGGTTTAGGGGTCCTTGGCTTGCAGGTTTCAAGGAGTTGTCCTTTGTACCCTTGGGTTTGGGTCCCTAAACCATGGATTATCGACCTTAATAGGGGTATTTGGACCCCCAACCTAGGGTTACAAACGTTTAGGGTGCAAACTTTAAAGTCTTTGAAGGTTTGGGGCCTAGTACCCCGATATAGATCCCGTATAGTAACCCTTATATTATATAGACCCCTTTAAAGGAACCCTATTCGGTCTGGGTTTAGGGCCTAGGGAGCTTTCATGTCTAAGGAGCTAAAGGTTTGCAAGTCTCAGGGCCGGTTGTAAGTTTCGGGCTTTTTGGAAGCTGCTGGTTGCGATGTGGTTTAGGGGTTTTAGGGGATTAGGGTTTAGGGGTTTGGGGTTTAGGGGTTGGGTTTTGGGTTTTAGGGGTTTAGGGTTTCGGGTTTTAGGGTTTAGGGTCTGCTGCCATGTTTAGGGCATTTGGGCGTCGGTGCTTTCGGGGTTTCAGGAGCTACAGTAATGATTCTAGGCGAGTTGTAGGCTCTTGAGTGATGTGGTTATGGGGGGGGTTGTTGAGGCATGCTCTACCTCAGTCCCGAGCCCTCTTCCTAAAGCCAAAAAAACCCACGCCCTAATGTAGGGGCAAGGAATAATTCGTAATGGGGCACCCTTATGGCACCTATATTGTATAATTTTAGCATGATCTACCCGAAAACCTAGCTGGTAAGGCCCCTATCTTAAGTTCTTAAATTGCAAGCCACAAAAACTCAGCAAGTCGAGCCCTGGACCGCTAAGGGTTAAATTTGGCAGTGATACGGCAACACCACTACGATGATTTTGACTACCGGCATGGCTATTGTTATTGTTGTTACAAGTTGTATATAGATAGTTATATATATACACACATAATTATGATAGATTTTCTTGCATCTCTCTAAACCCTAAGCTCTTGACCCACTAAGCCCTAACATAATCCCCAGGCCCCAAACCCTAAGCCCCTAAAAGCTCTTGGCCCCCAACGCTACATAGACCCTACAAGCCCCTATACGGTTACGGGTAGTTGTCAACATTAAGGTCCCTTTTTGGGTACCCTAACTAATCGGTGCCGTATTATAAAAGGGACCCAAAAAGGGACCATAATTTGGACAACCACCCCTAAACCGATAGCGCAGGCTAGCCTCAGCACCGCTTGTACCCTGGGGTCGGACAGCAGCTGCACCTCCGCCCCCTGAATGTCAATGTGCAGCCTTGCATCGAGGGCTCCCCTACACCCTACTTGGAGGATCAGGGGACATAGTAAGTAAGGTTATAAGTACCTTAAGTGGGGTTATAAGTAATTATAAGTATAGTTACCTTGCTTATAACCCCAGTTACTAAGTCCCATGATCCTTTAAGTACCTTAACCCAAGTAACCCACCTTTTGAAGAGCTGAAAACAAGAAATCAATAAGGGACCCCTAAAACGGCAGGTTGCTTTGGGTCCAGGTACACCCTAAACCCCTGCACCCTAAACACTAAACCGTTTCGTTCCTAAACCCTAAACACTAATCGGTTTCAGGGTTGGCAGACTGAGAGGCTTGGGCTTTGAGGCTCCGGGGCAGCAGGTTTGTTTTGCATCTACGATTTAGGGTTTGAGCCAAGGAGGCCAGACAGACAGAGAGGCAGAGACAGCGAAAGAGAGAAAGAGAGAGAGAGAGAGAGAGAGAGAGAGAGAGAGAGAGAGAAAGAAAGAGAGAGAGTGAGAGAGAGAGAGAGAGAGAGAGAGACAGAGACAAAGAGAGACAGAGAGAGAGAGAGAGAGAGAGAGAGAGAGAGAGAGAGAGAGAGAGAGAGAGAGAGAGAGAGAGAGAGAGAGAGAGAGAGAGAGAGAGAGAGAGCGAGAGAGACAGAGAGAGAGACAGAGAGAGAGTGAGAGTGAGATTGAGATTGACAGGAAAACGAAAGATCAACCAGGGGTTCAGCCAGGAAACAGGTCCAGATGCTGCAAACCAGCCATCATGTCCAGAAAAAGGTCGGCATCTGCCATTGTGCACTTCCTGGCCCATCTAATTTTTAGGAGGCCGCTTAACGGCAGTCATTGTGTTGCTCCCTCTCAAGACTATACCCTAAAGTGAAAGTGTCCGACAACTTAGAAAAAAGATTCCCAAGAACAGCCTGGTTTCAGGGTGGCTTCCATGGCGTTGAGCTTCAACACCTAGGGCGCAGGGTTTAAGCAGGCGTGAAACGAGAAGCAAACCCCCAAGCCTGCAACGTAACCACGGGACCTACTTTCAGGGTAGGGGGACTTCGTAAGAGGCTAGTTAGACTCTACATTCATTTTAACCGACTTACTAAGTGCCCCGACACTCCAAGTTACCTGTACACTATCTGCTATGACTCAAGTGCCTGTATAGGCGCCCTTCGCGCACGGCAGCAAGGACACTGTGAAGGAATTAAAGTCCTCGAACGCATACCCAACGAAGGACTGCCTCTTCAACGTTTAAAAAAGCAGCAAACCTTGATCGAGCCCTAAACCCTCTACTTGGAGGTTCACGGGTAGTTATAAAGGGAGTTATCAGTCGCCTAATATGGGTTATAACTACAATTACTTTACTTATATCCCCACTTATAACTACCAATGAACCTCCAAGTACCCTAAACCCCAGACCCCTCTACCCTAAACCCTAAAACCCCAGACCCTAAAACCCTTAAACCCCGAAACCCCAGACCCTCGATCCTGAACCTTCTTAGCGAGCAGCCATGTGGGCGCCAGCACAGTGCACTCTGAGCGACTCTACCAGGGCCAACCTGGGTGCTTGATACAGCCCAGAGGTCCCAATACCTTAGAAGGGGCCCCCACCCTGTAATAGTGTATATAAGGATTATATTAGGGCCCTATTATATTCCTATTATACCACTGTTACAGTGGGGGCCCCTTCTAACCAATACCCCTTAAAATATACCTTAAACCAAAATATCAAGGCCCCCATAGGTTCAGGTATGCTCCTTAATTTTAAGGGGCATTGGGATCTCTGAGAGGGGCCTTCATAGCCAGAGATTAGGGTGCCTTTTGATGGGGTCTATAAGGGTTACTATAAGGCATCTATAAGGGCACTATCATGAAGGGGCCTTAATAGCTAGAACAAGGTTCCTCCAAAGAGGTCTATAAGGGTTACTATAAGGGATCTATAAGGGTACTATCGTAGGGGCCTTACTAGCTATACTAGGGTCATTTTTGATGGGTTGGGGTTTTAGGGTTTAGGGGTTCTATGTATAGTATTTGGACCTCAATTAGCAGAGTAGGGCTTCGTGGGAACCGTCGCACCAAAATCAACCCTGGATCAAGGCAGATGAGATGTAGCTACGGACCGAATTTAGGGCCTTCATAATTAGAAAGCGGTTTTGGGGTAGTTGTACTATCCTTATAGTGAGGACTATACGGGGATACCATTACTAACTGTCCCGACCCCTACCTTACCCTTACCAGCACCCCGGATCGAGGAAGATGTAGCTATGGACCTCTAGAATATAAAATTGGACTGCGGGATGTACCGGAGTACAAGTAGATAAGCATATGTAAGCGAATCCCGAGGAATGGTCGGACTAAGTACTCAGGCCTATGACTTACCCCTGGAAAGGATCCCGCAGAGAAACCCTAAAAGAAACACTTAAAGGAACCCTCACAGGAGCCCTTACATGGTTCCGCCCCTCAATGGCCTCATAACCCAAATCTCTGTTTAGGGGCTAGGGCTAAGCTGATGTATTTCTGTGTTCATATCGCACTTGTTCTCCCTGCCAGTTTAGGGCTCAGGGCCAGTTTAGGGTCCCGAATCACTACACTGCACAGAGCCAGCTAGAAATCTAACGCAAGACAAAGGGACACCAGATCCGAAGACAGAAATCACCATAGGTCGGTCGAGCACCTCCCAAAAAAATGCGTGAGTCATCTCTTTCTTTCTTCAGAAACCATCCCAAGAACCCGAGAACCTCCACCCTACAACCCTGGAAGCCTAAGTCCGTACAGCCCTAAGAACCCCCAAACCCCCAACCAATCCCTCAACCTTGAAGCCCCGGAGCCCTACAACCCGAAACCCCCGGACCCTGAACCCGGAACATGCTTAAACCTTATAAACCCTAAACCATACCCACGAGCCCTAAACTCTGAAACCTAAACCCCATAACTCTCTAAACCCCAAAGCCTAAACTTCCAACTTTCTGGCGTTCGCTATGAAGGTAGTTGTCTAAATTACCTTCCCCGTTCTACTTGTAGGTCCCAAAATAGTACCTTATAAATAGGACACCCCAAAAAGGGACCCTTATCCCGCTAAGGAGAGTAGCCGGTAAGGCCTTAATAGTTAGACTAGGGTCTTGGGGTGTGTGTGCGGACTTGAAGTCGGTTCATTGTGCATCTTGGAGTCTTGTGTTATATTATAGTCCCTAAACCCTAAACTATCATCAAAACAGAGGAAAGGAGCCGGTATGGCATGGGGTTCAGCTGGCGCAGCAGCGCGATGCCGCGGAGTCCCCAGGTGCCCCACCGGGCTCCCAGCTCCATGACCTAACTTACAGCTTTGTTGAAAAAAGACCTAGCTTAGGGTTTTTTAAAGGCGGATTTGGGCTTTAAGGTTGAAGTCAAGGGTTTAAGGCTTAAGGTTAAAGGCTAAGGGCATAAGCTTTAAGGCTAAGGTTTAAGGCTTAAGGGTTTAAGGTTGAACCTTCAGGGTTAAGCGTTTAGGGTTTCAGGTTTAAGTTCAAGGGTTTAGGGTTAAAGGTCTAGGTTTAAGTGTAGGGCGTAGCCGCAGGGCCGAACTTTGTAACACCAGAGCGGTTTCTTCCCGATGATGCTTACATCAAACAAACAAACAAAAACAAGTAAAGAAGCACACAAGCAGTATACACATATATATATATATATATATATGTGTGTATATATAAATATATGTATGTATATATATACATATGTATCTACAGGTGTCTGTATGTCTGAATGTATGCATGTATGTCTGAATGTCTGGTATGTGTGTCTGGTATGTGAGTCTGTGCGCATGTAATTAGGTATGTATGCATGTATGTACTGTACTGTACTGTACTGTACTGTATGTATGTATGTATGTATGTATGTATTATGTATATATGTACTAGATATGACACCTACACGCACATTCATTCATACATACTGACAGACAGCCAGGCATAAATACATACATACATACATACATACATACATACATGCGGACATACATGCATACTTCGAAATGCTGTCCGACGTAGGATTTGATTCTACTGCCTGCATCGCGCGATTGAAAAACTGGCGCGACCACCTAGTCACGGGCTGCGAAGGATTAATGCAATTCGGGCATTTTGACGTTGTTGGCTTTCTCCTGGGGCAGCGTCCTCGCATTCTCGACATGCCGTCCGGCGCAGGTTGGAGGAGACATGGGAATTGGGTTGGTGCCAGGGACGGGACTGGAGTGGAAGGCATGGAACGGCAGGTAATGCCGACCACGCATTTCTCCATCCTGCAGCTCGAAACACGTGCGCCCGACGGCCGTCGTTTTTGATGGGTTTTAATGGAGTTTGGGGCATTTGCTTCACGACGGTGCTTTTCGAGGAAATTTCGGAAAGCGATTCGGTCTTGCCAGCTCAAAAGCGATCGTCGTTTCATTCAGTGCCCAAGCATTCGAAGGGAAGACCTTCAAATTGTTTTGAGGCATGTTCTTTAGACTGCACTTGTATGGGCCGGTCGCCAGTCCACGGAGGTTGTTCCCAGGCCCGATTCGCATTAGCACAACCCTAGGGCGCTTACCCAACATACATGCGTACATACATGGGCGGTTGTCAACATTAGGGTCCTGTTTTGGATCCTTATTATAATACGGCACCCCTACTATTTAGGGTACCCCAAAAGGGACCCTAATTTTGACAACTACCCAGATGCATGCATACATGCTTTGTCAGGGCTTTTGACTTCTGCGGTTGAATTACATCGGAGGTTGTGATGCGTGCTTCAAGGGTTTTGAGTGTTTAGAGTGGGATTGATCCCGGCTCTGGGTTTCCATCAGGTTTATAAGTTTAGGGTGTAAGATAGGGCGAAGGGTTAGAATATGCATTACATGAGTGTTGGCGTTTAGGGCCTTGCATTTGGTGTTAGGGTTCGTGCACGTGGTGTGACGCCAACCTACACCATCATCACCACCATGATCCCTGTCATCGTCATCATCATCGTCTTCATCCTCTCACTTAATCCTCCTCATCCCCCCCATCCTCATCCTCATCCTTATCCTCCTCATCTTCAGGACCATAAACAACAGGGAAAAGACGTCTTGCGCAAGGATTGAGAAAGACCCGTCGAAGCAAAACGCGGACCCTAAATCCTAACCCCGAAAAACCCCCTCCCGGAAAAGCACGCGCTTCACTGCGCACACGGAAAATCAAACTCCTTCATTGTGTAACGTACGTTGAACCAAAACCTAACGTAGACCCCTGATTCCCCTTACAGCTGATGTCGGACAGGTCACGTGGAAGGATCCACGTGCGCGTAGCACTGATTGATACACGGCCACTTGCTCGAAGTACTCCTGGTCGGACTTCAAGTAAACCCTAAACCCGAACTTCGAGCTTCCCTTGCGGTTGGGACAACCTCATTAGACCGAGGACGGCGTCCTAAGTCTTAAGACTCTACTTCATGCCGAAAACGCATACAGTAATATGGGGGGCCTCAAGAATTAGAATAGCGTTTTGGGGCCCGTTGTACTAACCCTCAAAATAGTATAGGCAATTATTGAGGCCCCTACAGTACCCTAAGGGTCCATGTACCCCAATACTACCTTAAAGTAGTCCCTATATAGATAATTTGGGGCCAAAGTATATCTGGGTTGCAGTTTTTGGGCTCTGGAAAGTCTTTATGAATAAGAACCTTTATAGGAACCATAAGGGAAATTAAAAAGTTTCCCAAATTGCCAGCTGGATATACTATTTGGGTACATGGACCCTTCGGGGTAGTCGTATGCCCCGATACTCTAGAACCCTACTATAGATCCCTTAACGAGCCCTTTAAAGGAACCCAAATTTTAGGCCCCTATATCAAGCCTACTTAAAGGATCATGGGACTTAGTAACTGGGGTTATAAACAAGGTAACTACCTTTATAATTACTTATAACCCCATTTAAGGTACTTATAACCTTACTTACTAAGTCCCATGACCCTCCAAGTATAGTAGTCGTATGTAATCCGGGCGAGACTCAACTTCTGGAGTCCTCGTCGATCACAGGCAGCTGTGGCTGCACGTGCGTGAACCTGGGCTCGTGTTGAAGAACTACGGTTGATGATAGAAATCCTAGGGTTCCTTTGAAGGGATCTATAAGGGTGCCTTTTTTAAGGGGTTCCTTTACGGGATCTATAGGGTTTTAGGGTTTAGGGCTGAGGATATAAATCCTGCATTACCATGATAAGGAATGTACCATTATTCCCATAGTTTAGGGTCCTTAAGGTAATGCAGGATTTATATCATCAACCGTAGCTTGCTTGGGTTCTTAGTTGCTGAGTTCATAAGCCCCCCAACAGTGTACACTTTCCGTTTTATAGTGGGTAATAGTGTAAAAAACTGTTCAGGTTCCCATAGCCAAGAAGTCGCATGAATTTTGTACACCCCAACCCTCCCTAAACCCTAAACCCTCACACCTCAACCCTAAACCCAACCGAAAGCCCGAAATAAGAGAGAGCTCCGACACGATGCATTGGAGCGCTCCACAAGTTCGGCACAGTAGCAACGGGGCCTTACGAATTACGAGGATGCCCAGGAACCGGGTAACTTTAGAAGGAACCTAGGACTACAAGAAGTGAATAAGGGTACTACTGGGCATTCTGGTTTTGGGGTATATGATACCATAATTGTACTACGAAACCCCCAAAACAGTACCATACTTACTTGGGTCTCTATAGGAACTCACCGGCTCAAAGAAGAACCTCGAACAGTCGCCTATGTACCCTCGAATAACTACAGCATGAGACAGAACAAAACGAAGAGAGCTCCGAAACCCTGTCGAACTCCAAACCGCCCTAAACCCTCAAGAACTCCACCGCCCCAAACCACTCTAAAAGCTGCGTGCTTCCTAGAGGCTTAAGGGACTTCGCAAGTAGATTGTAAATTGTAAGCAAGGCGGGATTTGGGTTCCGGATTTAGGGAATCTCCAGCTAGGGTACTTATGATGCTAACTACAACCTACGTACCAAGTTCCCTAACCCGTGGTGCAGCACCATGAACCTCTTAAACCCTGCAGAAACCCCATGAAACCGCATACAACACCTGTAAACCCACTTACCAAGCCCTCTAAACCCTGGACCCCTCAGTTCCTGACTGAACCTCAAACTATAAACAGCTCAGTTCGTTACTAAACCCCGAAACACCCTAAACCCTAAACCCTAAAACCCTAAACCTCTGAGTTCCTAAGCCTCTCCAGTCCTGGGCAAGAACCCAAAACCCTGAACCCTAAAAGTCGCCATGGGCAGTTGTCAAAATTAGGGTCCCTTTTTGGGCACCTTAAATAATGGGTGCCGTACCATATTAGGGACCCAAAACTTAGTTGCTGAGTTCATAGGCCCCCCAAAAGTGTACACTTTTAGTTTTAGTGGGTATGAAGTGTATCCACTCAGCTACTAAGAAAAAGGGTCCCGAATTTTGACAACCACCCCCATTCCTGAACAAGAACCTAGAAGCTTAGACCTGAGGAAGGCCTCGTGCTCGTGACAGGCATGCCACCGGCTCCTCAGAGCTACCCATCAAAGGGTAAAAGGAGGGACCGCCAAGGTATATACCCATAATATAGCCATATATACCCATTATAGGGTAGGGGTCCCCATTAAGGGTTTTCCTGAGGCGTTCCTTAAACCTAAGGGTTTAGGGCTTGAGGGTTAAGGGTTTGGGTTCAGGGTTTAGGGTATCTGGGTTTAGGGTTTAGGTCCCAAGGACCCAATAATATGGTACCTGGGTTCCGGAGAGTATAGGAGTATTTGGTACTTGGACTTGGACCCTGAGGGTATGCTAAGATGTCCCTAAACCCTAAACGGCAAGTGTTCCCAGAGGCTTCAGTATCCCTTAATTGAGGAATGTATTCCTTAAATGATAGTAGGACCCCTGATATGATCTAAGGGAGATTCCTTAATTTGAGGGTAAAAGGAGGGACCCATAATAAGGACCCCTAGGAAATATACCCTTAATACAGCTATTTTTTACCCATTATATAGCCCATTATGGGGTAGGGGTCCCCCTTCAGGGTCCCTCCTTTTCCCCTAAACCCTAAACCCCTATAGACCCCTTTAAAGGAACCCTAAGAGCCCTAAATTAAGGATCCCTCCTTTGCCCCTTTGACTTAAGGGAGATACGAGTCGCTCGGTTTGGGGATCTGAGAATCTTTGGGTTCCGGCGTGAAGGGTTGTGTAAGGCCTTAACCCTAAGGGTCCATGTACCCAAATAGTCTATACTGAACTTAGAACCCTAGCAAAAATTGTTTTTAGCTGTTTCTTGGGGATTATAATACCCAAAAATAAAAAAATATTTCTAAGTACCCCTAAGTAGTATACAGTAGAAGCCCAAAAGTTGGAAACCCCATAGCCTCGATCCCTAAGAGTGATGTATAAGGAATCCCAACACTATTTGGCCTTAATCCGGTTTCCAACTTTATGGGGTTTACTGTCTGTATACTTTGGCCTCAAAGTATCTATATAGGGACTACTTTAAGGACAAAGTACCTAGTATTTGGGCACATGGACCCTTAGGGTAAAACTTAAGAACCGCAATGCTCCCCGAGCATGGGGCAATAAGGGTTCTGGCTTTAGGATTTCAGGTGCTTTCGGGTTCCACGAGGGTTCCATGATAAGGCTTAGGGTTTAGTATTTGGGGGCTGTAAAATTCCATACGAACTTTAGAGGTTTAAGGGTTCTGTAAGGGTTCTAGGAGACTTCTCCGGTTTAGGGTTTCGGGATAAGGGTGTTGTGACAAGGGTTCCAATAAGTTGTATAAGGATTCTAGGAGGATTCTATAGGATTGTAGAAAAGTTGGGTTGCGATGAGGATTATGTTGGACTCTTTGGTTCCACAAGCGTTCTGGAATGGGCGTTTCTATACAGCCTGTATGATTAAGGATTCTCTGAGGGTTCAACAGGACTTCAAGCAGCAGGTTCAAAACTGCATTGTATAATTTGTGGGGCTATCAGTATCTACAGCTATGGCTGCCTGCTACCTTACTGATATCCCTACTTACTAAGTCCTCTGAGCACGAAGTACAGGTTCCTTCTAGGGCTTCTGATCCGTGTTTGTAACTGGTAGGAAGGCCTTGTCCAACGAGGGTGCTTACACATGGCGGATTATGTGATTTCGGGCTTCAGTGCGGTAGGGGTTTAGGGTTTAGGGCTTCGCGCGTAAATTCGGGGCTTCGGGAGTTTAGGCTTTCGGATGTAGAGTTGAGGGTACGCCGATCTATCTTCCGCGGCAGGTGCCTGTCTTTTCTGAGCCTAAACCGCTAAACCCTCAGCCCCGGACACTCAAAAACCCTAATTCCTTGAACCATAAGCCCGCACCGGACACCTAAACCCCAAACCTTAAACCCTAAACCGTGATCTAGAGCATCACATTGGGCAAGATCCGGCCTGCAGATACACTCCGGATGGCATACCTCTAACCCCAGCTCTGAGGCTACTGACCACACAAAAGCTATGAGACCCTTGCAGCACCTTTATGACCCATGTATGATAACCTAAAACCTTGTTTCAATTTTGCCCACCAGTTCCCCTCAGCCTAAACCCTAAACCCTAAACCCTAAGCCCTAAACCCTAAACCCAGTTCCCCTCAGCCTAAACCCGAAACCCGGAAAGGCCCTTGCAGCCCTCCAGTCGTACAGCCCGAAGGCCCCTGAACCCTAAGCCCTTAGGAATCCCTTATAGTAACCCTTATAGATCCCTTTAAAGGAACCCTATAGATCCCTTTAAAGGAACCCTACAGATTCCTTTAAAGGAACCCTTTAAGGAGCCCTAAAGCCCTTCATTCATGGAGCCCGAAGGCCCTCCACCCAGAGAGGCCCCCCAGAGCTTACATGCCCAGGCACGGCAGAGAGAGGTAGTAGCGGAAGGAGCCGAAGGGGCAGCCCATAGGGCCCTTCGAAAAATTTCCGGCTTTTTTCTCGGGAAAAGAGGGTTCAACAAGTTTCGGGTTTAGGGTTCGGAGTTCAGGGTTTAGGGTTTAGGGCGCTATTGGATTTTGTGAAGGCCTTGGGGTTTCGGGATTTATTAGAGTTTGGGGCATATAGATGATCATGGGATTTCTTTAAGTGCGTACAAATTGGGGTCAAAAGTACACTACATGGAGCTGTCCCACACATAATAAGATTTTGTTTCGGAATATCGTGCTGTCCACAACCTCCCATGTCCCCTCAGCTTCCAACAGGGTCGTTTAAGGCTTCGGATTAGTAGATTACTAGATTCTCACGCATGGCTTGGGCTTTGAGGTTCTCTCTCTCTCTCTCTCTCTCTCTCTCTCTCTCTCTCTATCTCTCTATCTCTCTATCTCTCTATCTCTCTATCTCTCTATCTCTCTATCTCTCTTTCTTTCTCTCTCTCTCTCTCTCTCTCTCTCTGAATTCGGTAAGTGTGGTCGTAGGGTTTTGGCCAGCTCCAGGCATACTAAGTGGTTAAGATCAGGGCATCAAGCGCCAACTATGGAGCCTAGCGGCCTAAAACAGGCATTCGATATCGAACCACGCCGTGAAATGGGACGGCTTCCTGTTTCTTCTCTATGTCGGATTTTGCTTTGGGGTTGAACCCTAGATTGAGGAATCTAAGTTTAAGATGGGCTCCGCCCTCGGATGTTCTCGTTTTATGCCCTAGGTCCTGTTTCTTACCTTTTGGTTCTTACGAGGGGTTTGAGTCTTAGGTTGAGGAACCTGCATTATTTTTAACGGGTTCCCTCCCTGCCGCTATACCCAACTGTTTCGCATGTGGCTGCCGTCGCCCTGATGTCTCGGACCTCCACACGCCGCCAGAAATCCATCACTCAGGGTTGCAGCCATAGCTTCTTGCGAAGCTTTCTGGTATCTACTGCATGTCCCGCAGCTCATTCTGCACCGCCGAGCTGTCACCACCAAAGCAAGCAGCGCCCCATGTGACCACAGATCCATCGCCACGGATTGCGGCGAAGGCACCAACAGAAGCCTGGATCTGCTGCACATTCTTCAGCTGCTCCTGGACGGCACTGCTGTCGCCACCAGAGTCGGCGCGGCCCCAGGTCACTACAGATCCATCAACCAGGACTGCGGCAAATGCCTTATCAGAAGCTTGGATCAACTGCACATCTCGCAGCTGATCCTGCACCGCACTGCTGTCGCCACCATGTTCGACCCGACCCCAGGTCACCACAGATCCATCACCCAGCATTGCAGCGAAGGCACCGGCCGAAGCTTGGATCTGCTGCACATGCTTCAGCTGCCTCTGCACAGCACCGCAGTCGCCACCGTGGTCGGCCGCACCCCAGGTCACCACAGATCCATCAACTAGGATTGCAGCAAAGGCGCACTTGGAAGCTTGGATCTGCTTCACGCATCGCAGCTGATCCAGTACCGCACTGCTGTCGCCGCCATGGTCGACATCACCCCAGGTGACCACAGATCCATCGCCCTTGATTGCAGCAAATGCCCGATAAGAGGCTTGGATCAGCTGCACATCTCGTAGCTGATCCTGTACCGCACTGCTGTCGCCACCATATTCACCATAGACGGCATAACCCCAGGCAATCACAGATCCATCAGCCAGGATTGCAGCAAATGCACCACCCGAGGCTTGGATCCGCTGCACATCTCGCAACTGATCCTGCACCATTCTGCTGTCGGCACCGTAATAGTAGCTGCCCCAGGTGACCACAGATCCATCATCACGGATTGCAGCAAAGGCACCCGTAGTAGCTTGGATATTTTGAACATTTCGCAGCTGATCCTGTACCGCAGCGCTGTCGCCACCATAGTGGTTGTTGCCCCAGGTGACCACAGATCCGTCAATCAGGATTGCAGCAAATGCCCGAGAGGAGGCTTGGATCAGCTGCACATCCCGCAGCTGATCCTGTACCGCACTGCTGTCGCCACCACGGTCAGCATTGCCCCAGGTGACCACAGATCCGTCGACTAGGACTGCAGCACATGCATCATCAGAGGCTTGGATTTGCTGCACATTCTTCAGCCGCTTCTGTAAGGCTCTGCTGTCACCACCACAGTCGGCAGCACCCCAGGTGAGTACAGATTCGTCCCCTAAAATTGCGGCGAAGGCACAGAAACAACCGCTTCTCTTTGTGGTGATGAGTTGGACTCGCTTAACATGTAACGTGAGCACGTCTCCACTCTTCAACTTCGCTTCTGTGATAGTTTTTGCTCCGTCAAGGACCTCTCCAGAGGAGTTCAGCAATCTCCCTGTGCCCGTGGCCAGAGCTCTCTGTGCACACTGTTTCAATGACTCAACAGATGCATCCGCCTCCACTTCCAAAGAAGCACTTTTACCACTCAGCAGATGCACGTCCAGAGAAATCGACATGATGCGGCGCGGAGTGGTCGCTGCAGGCAATGGCAAGACCAAAGACTGTAGCCTACTACGTTGCTATGTTAGCCGCCACCACTTCGGCGCCTGTAGTACAAGCTGGGCTCAAAGAACCTCAAGAACGCTAAACTCTAAACCCCTAAACCCTAACCCCTAGTAAGAGGCTCGAAGCTGGAGATCTGAGTCAAGCAACAGAAAACCATGGCCACAGTGGTGACCCCACCCCTGGGAAGATCAACGGAGATTTAGGGCTTTAGGGGTTTAGGGTTTGGGGGTTTAGGGTTCAGGGTTTTGGGGTTTAAGGGTTTAGGGTTTAGGGGTTGAGGGTTCTAGGGGTTTAGGGTTCAGGGGTTTAGGGTTTAGGGGTTTAGGGTTTCGGGGTTTAGGGTTCAGGGGTTTAGGGGTTTGGGGTTTCGGGGAACCCCAAACCTTAATCCCATGGGCCCTAAACCTTGAACAAGTACGAGGAGGCCGCTCCGTTGTCCGCTGACATACCGGAGTTGCGAAACGACATGCCATAGCCCAAGGGTCCAAGTACCTGATACTCAGAAATCCTAACCAACATAACTACTATCCTAAAACTGAGTACCTCATTCTAGGGTCCTTTGGACCCTTGGGGATAGCCCAACCGATGATAGGGTGGGTGGCTTACGGAGTCAGGGGAGGCGTCAGTGTCCCTAAACTCTGAATTCTAAACCCCGAACCCCTCGACTCCACCCCTTTACCCATAGGCCACCAGAGTAGTTCCTTCTTGAGGGGTTCATATTTAGAATCCTATAAGGTAATCCCGAAAAGGAACTACTATAGCGCCTATGGGTAAGCCCTAAACTCGAAACCCTACGCCCTGCTCTCTAAACCTGAACCGTTCGTCGGGCCCTTGCGAGTTGACAAAGTGCCGCACCTCCTTGTCGCCTGCCCTTGTGCTACTATTGGAACCATCGGATCCCTAATGCTAAACATCTATCATACTACACACCATTAACCGCCCCAAAACCGTAAACCCCTAAACCCTCAACCCCAAGCCGTAGACTGTACGAACACCGCAACAAATCCTACAAGCTTTGCGGTCACGGGGTGCCGGGCGGGAAGCTCGAAGTTTCGAAGGTAGGGGTGGGGGTTTGGGTTGAATGTTGGGAGTTCAGGGTTTGGGTTTAGGGTTTAGGGTTTAGGGTTTAGGGTTTAGCTAAAATTGCCCGCCCCGTCCTCATTCTTGGGGTTCCACTGGCTCGCATTGCAGAGATTCTCGCAGTCGAAGTGTGCCGGGACCTTGCTCCCCAAGAGCCGTCTGACCCTGGTTTAGGTTTAGGGCATAACTTCATGAACCTCAACCCTGGTTTGAGGGCTTAAGGTTTAGGGCATACATCTAAATCTCTTAGGAACATATGAATCCTGGCTGGGGACGCAGGCATCTCGTGCCCCCGAACTATCTAAACCTCAACCCTGATTCTAGGATGCCCAGTAACCTAGGAATAAAAGGGCTCTCTTTTGGGTATTGGGTACCTTTGTAAGGAACCTAAGGCTACGAAAAGGGAATAAGGGTACTACTGGGCATCCTAGGATTTGATTCCTAAACCCTCAACTCTCGGCCCTGTTGTAACCCCTGAACCCTAAACCCCTAAACCCCTAAACCCGAAACCCAAACCCCTAAACCCTAACTGCCCTAACTTAACCCCATGTCCGAAGCCCAAAACTCGTGTTCAAGCCACAGAAGAGACTCGTTCCAAGCCTCAAACCCTAAACGAATAATCCCGAAACCCTAATCCCTGTACCCCAAACCCTAAAGCCTAAAATCTACAACCCTATACCCCAAACCCTAAAGACTAAACTCTCAACCCTAAACCCTAAACACCTAAGCCCTGAACACACAAGCCGCCTTCAGCCCGTTGAGCTCTGTAAGGACCCCTGGCTCCAGAGGATAAGACCTGAGCGGCACCTCGCATTTGGGGATCTTTCGATTTGGAAGGGGCGAGCTGGGCGGGCGGGGGGGCGGGGGGTAGGCTTTAGGGCTTGGGAGGCGGGGGGGGGGGGGTTACGGTTTAGCGTTAAGGGTTAAAGTTTGGGTTGCAGGTTATTTGGGCTTCTGGCTTCAAACTTTAAGGCTTCAAGAGGCCAAGGTGCATAGTTTAGGGATGGTGGGTTGGGTTGGTGGGCTGAGTCAGGGGTTTGGGGTTTGCAGGGCTTCACTAGGATGCCCAGTAACCTAGCAATAAAAAGGGATCCCTTTTGGTATTCGGTAAGATTAAAGGGAACCTGGGACTACAAAAAGGGAGTAAGGGCACTACTGGGCATCCTACACCCTTAAACTCCTCAAGGACGAAGAGGCCCTCAACCAAGACTGGTGGGGCCCTAAACCCCGCAGAGATCCCAATACCCCTTAATTTAGGAATAGACCTTCATCCACAATATCAAGATCCCTATTGGTTTAGCGTTTCCCTATACTTTCAGGTCCTTAGTTAAGGGGTATTGGGATCCCTAAGCCTGATCCCCGCAAGGAGTCGGCGCCTGCAGCATGACCGGGTGGTGCGGATAAGTTTTCCCGTCGACGGGGTTCAGGGCATACTCCTCCGCTCGGCTCAGCTGGCGGCCGAGTAGCCTCACTTCCAGCGGTTTAGGGTTTAGGGTTTCAGACCCACAGGAAGTAAGCGGCTATAGCATAGTCTAAGTCCCAGAATGAAACCCCCAACACCAGAACCCTAAAACCAATAGCCCTCAACCTCGGAGCGCATAAAACGGTCGGCTACTGGAGAACTAGCTGCAACTACCATACAGTCAACTACTCGTTTGTAAGACCTTGCTGCAAAACTTGTGACACAAAGCCCCAAATCCGTAACCCCTCGTCCTAAATAGACACAAATTCAGGATCCTGCTCTTAAAGAAAAACGTAGGTCACAGGAGGTAAACAAAAGCGCAGGCCATAGTGGGTTTCAGGCCAAGCATCAGTCCCACGATGTGCAGAAGAGTCATCTTGCATCGAGCCGGCCCAGTTCAATTGACCATTGACCCGAGCTTTCGAGCTCAGAGTTGGGTGCAGGAGGGTTTAGGGCTTCGGCTTCAGATTAAGATGTCTTCAGGGTTTTCAACCGCGGCGTTGAAAGAGGCAAATACTGGATTTTGGTTCTAGTTTCGGGTAGAGGCCTTTCGGCAGTTTGAGGGTTTAGGTAGCAGGGTCGGGGCTTGAAGGGCTCTCGGCCTTCAAGGGTTATTGTAGGGGCCTTAACTCTTTTAGAATAGGGTTTTGAGGTTTCCATATTATAGCTGTCGGTACAATGTACATATACCCTAGATTAGGATGTGGGGTTGAGGCTTTAGGGCGTTGGGTTTCGGGGTTCACGAGTGTCTGAGTCGAGGGCTTGGGGGTGTAGGCTGCTGGATGCTGCAGCTCCGCATGATCCGAGTGCTGGGAATACGCCCAATGTCCAACTAGTTGCTGAGTTCATAAGCCCCAAAAAGGGTACACTTTCAGTTTTATAGTGGGTAATATTATCCCAAAAAGTGCATCCACTCAGCTACTAAGCCAAAATGATTTGGGACTGAATTACTGGACTAGGGTGACTGTATACTATTGCCGTGGCGTGGCAACCTACGAAATGCTCTTGCAGTTCTGCAGACCGCAATTATACAGCGGGGCGGTGAGGAGTGGTGCTTCTGATATCGGACACAGTTTGGTGGCCCTGTGAATCCAATACCCTGCTCGGGTGGAGGATCTTTCCGTTGTTTTCCGGGACAAGGGGATCAGGCCGCTGTCTCAGTTGCTGAGTTCATAAGCCCCAAACTCCGACGCGTAATGTACCCAATCAGCCACAAAGTTGTTCCATGGTAGCGTACAGTTGCCCCATGAGGATACGGCTGCCGGCCGCAAATGTTCGCGATTCATAACCCGTTGTTGCCCAGTCGTATACGACCTGGATTGGCTAGCATCACCCGTTATTCGCGGAATCAACAACGATCCTTGTGACTTACCGGCCTCTCACAGCCAACCCGCAGGATAACCGTCATTTCGACATGTTTCTGTGCACGCGTGCGTATGCATGTACGTGTTGTGTATGTGTGCGTATACACACGCTTTCATCTCTACATTTCTGTATGACGAGTAAGGTTGAGGGCCTAAGGATTCCAGATTGAGGGCTTAGGGTTGGGCATGTCAGGCTGCAGGTGTAGTGTGCACAGTGGAGGGTTGTGTATACTATGTGGCGGCATACTATAGTGTAGTATACGATCTGATATATACTATATTCTATAAGTCTATCGAGCGTAACGACATATTTTCCCAAGCAAGGGGGTTCCATGCAAAGCAATCGCTCCATTCGGGATCTTGTTTCCTCCTCTCCTTCGTTTCTCACTGTCGCGCGCACAGAAGAGATGACTTTGCTGGCATCATGCACTTTTGTGGCTGCTCTTGAACACTGAAACTGCTACCAAACCCTTAGTAAGTAAACTCCAAGGTCACCAAGTTAAAAGGGCAGTTTGAGTATGTCCAGCCTATCTCATCTTTGCACGTCCCTTTCGATTTCTCTCACTCGTAGCGGCAGCGGCCACTCAGGCCTTTCCACAGTGTGCACCCTACTGCTTAGGGTTTTGGTTTAGGGTTTAGGACTGAGGGTTTAGGGGGATCTAGGGTTCAGGATTTGGGGCTAAGGGGGATTCCGGGCCTACGGCTTAGGGTTGAGGGTTTCGGGTGCAGGACTGATGGACTAAATGCTGCACTGCCTTCTAATGGCCATATTATGGTGCAAGTGCATGGATAATTCGAAGAGGCTCTTGCGTATGTTAACTTACGAGGACTAGAAAGGGACATATAGTCTTATGCAAAAGCTACTAACTGGGAGTTGTGGTATGTTCCTCAGTAATCTAATAATGTGGGATTGAAATTGTGTCCTCTAACAATAGGACGCAAGAAGCTTTCAGAACTGTTCTTGCTGCAACCCCGTCGTTTCCTCGTCTCCGTGGGCTAAGCCTCGACAACGGTTCGGTTATGCTATTTCCCAAAACCGTCGAAGCAAAAGGTTGCCTCCTAATCAACTTAGGGTTTAGGGTTTAGGGGTTTAGGGTTCGACTCCGTGTTGAGTCTCACTCTCAACCAAACCAGACCTCGAAGTCTTAATCTCTTTGCGCTCCATTCGCTGAAGCAACGCAGCAGAAATGTTGCAGAGAGTCCTTGTGTTCCCAACACGTATGCTGGGAGTTCAGTGAACGCGGACTCTGGTTCTAAAGACCGGTTACTGAAGCATCCAGGCTCTCTTTTTCATATTGGGCAACTTGATAGGGAAGCTAGGACTACAAAAAGGGAATATTCGGAATAAGGGTACTACTGGGCATCCTAGTCTGATTCCGAGTCGATCCATTCACTGTCGCTGCTCTGGGCCGCCAACTCGATCTCCCTGTTGATGTGGCTGGCCGAGATCCAGTGCGCAGCATTGGCCGGCACGTGGCAAAGCATGCAGCGGCCGCGGCGGTCTATCGCCCGGACCGTCCAGAGAAGGGCTGCGGCAAGGGCTGGCGTCGGCTCACTGACCTGCGTAAGGTCTGCCACCAGCTGTTTGGTGGCAGCAACAGCGATCCTGTGATTGTTGAGCTCTCCCACGGTTCAAAAAGGACTTCCTGCATTCAAGCCACGGTGGAGTTTTGGGTCATATTGCAGCGAGATGAAGGGTTTAGGGCTTAGGGCATTAGGGTGTAGGGTCGAGAGAGTAGGGTGTACTATAGGGCCTGAGAATCTGTATAGTTTTGGTGCGTCAGGGGCTTCCTGACTCGCCTCTTAACTTAGTTGCTGAGTTCATATAAGCCCCAAAAAGTCTAGACTTTCAGTTTTCTATTGCGGAAGATTATCCCCAAAAGTGTAAAGTGTATCCAGTGTATCCACTCAGCTACTAAGGCCTACTAACTATTCAGACCCTTGCTTAGTTGCCGAGTTCATTAGCTCAAAAAGTTTAAACTTTCAGTTTTAGACTGGGTTTCATGATTGCAGAAAGTCTCACTGGCCCAAAACCCAAGGCAATAAAAGTTGAAACTTTCAGAATTGACTACCTTATAAGAACCCCAAAAGTTGAAAAATTGAGTTTAAAGCCAATAAGAAGCTTAAAGTTTATCAGCCCAACTACTAAGCTTGCATCAATTGAACCCTGAACCTCCGAACCCGGATCCGCAACCGGAAGCTCTCCACCCTCGACCCATAACCCCAGAGACTCGACTATCCCGAAGTCAAGAAAGATACCTTAAATCATAGTAGGATCCCTACTATGATTTCATGTATATTCCTTCATTAAGGGATATTAGAGTCTCTGGGTAAACCCCAAAACCCCTAAACTCTAAACCCTACACCCTAAGCTCCTAAACCCAGAACCCGAAACCCTTGACCGAAGAAGCGCCTTCTCCAGCAGAGGCCTTCTTTCCGGGTCGCTTGCACCTGTTCAGGGCTTTAGGGGTTTAGGGTTTAGGGGCTTAGGGTTTAGGATCTGAGGTCAAAACGTTTAGGGTTCATATCGGGGTTTGGGGTTTTCGGTTTTGGGTTTAGGGGGTTAGGGTTAGAGTTTAGGGCCGAGGGTTTTGGGTTCAGGGCGCTTTTCGTGGGCTTTGAAGGGAGCTCGGCAGGGGTGGCTGAAAGCTTTTTCCATGAAGCGGGAGGATAGAAAGGGTTTAGGGGTGAGAGCAGAAGGGTTTAGAGTTTGCGGTAATAGAAAGCTAATTAGAAAAAGCGGGTTGAGGGTTTCGGGTAGAAGGGTTTGGGGTTGAGGGTAGAAGGGTGGAAGGGTGGAGCTTTTTGCCCTAGACTCTGCTTTATGATCGAGAGACGCCGCCGTTCCAACTTTCTGGCCTCTCTACTTCATGCTAAGGGCTAGGCATACGGTCCCACAAGAGGTCCAAGGCTAAGGATGTTCAGGGTTTAAGGTTTAGGGTTTAAGCTGTCAGGTTTAGGTTTAGGATTTGGGTCCCGATGTCCTGAAACTTTTTGAAGCCTGGAAGCTCTTACACTTCCAACTCTGTACCCGTGGGCTAGGCTTAAGCTCTGAATCCAACAATTCTTAACTCCAACACCCCAACCCTCCCCTAAACCCTAAACCCTGAACCCTAAACCCCTAAACCCTAAACATCCCTAAACCCCAAGACCACAACTTGCAAACAAGAACTTGTAGACCGCCAACCTTAAGTCCAAAACAATACCAACAATCCGTAAACTAACCCTACAGCCAAACATCCTAAACCCCCATGTGGAGCTCTTACGGAACCCATCTAGTTCATCCCACCTAAAACCTTAATGCCTAAACCTCTAAATCCTTACAATCCCTGCAGTTCCCAAGCCCAAAAACACCCAAAACACGAGCCCCTAAACCCTGAAAATCCCCGAAGTGTTAAACCCCTAAAGGCCCCCAATTCCAACCTGCGGAACCCTGAACCCAAAAACCAACGCCTGAACAGCCTAAAAACCAACGCCTGAAAACCCTTGGTAAAGGGTTTAATCCTATACAATAAAAATCCCTAAACCCTCACCCAATTCCTATATCTGTACCTATATCATACCTACATCTATATCATTCTATATCCATATCTATTCCTACATGGGTGGTTGTCAAAATTAGGGTCCCTTTTTGGGTACCCTAAATAATAGGTGCCGTATTACAATAAAGACCCAAAAAGGGACCCTAGTTTTGACAACCACCCATAACGCCGAAACCTCGAGACCCGACCACCATAGGAGGCCTATAGGGGTTTTAGCCTATGGGGATTTAGTAGGGATTATAGTAGAAGCCAGAAAGTTGGAACATCGTTTTAGGAGGATTAGTGCTAGGATCCCTTATACTTTACCTTAAGGGTATGAGGAAAATTATGTTCCAACTTTCTGGCTTCTACTATAGGGTTCCCATAAACCTAAACCCTACATGCGCCTTCGATATCCTTCTCGTCCTCTTCGTAGAAGCTCTCATCCGAAGGCCAGGCTGGGCATCGGGAAAGTCTGAAGCTTTAGGAGT